GATTGCAAACCTCTCACAGCCTGCTTAAACAGAGTAGAAGCTGCAACTTCTACAAATGCCTGTGTTATATTAATATGCTTGTAAAAAGTGTAAAACATGAATGACAATAAATGTTATGAATGTATGCTTAATGGTTCGAAGTTTTACTTACGAATACATATCTCAAATCTTTATAAACTAGAATATGTACATATGTACACTTGTTAATTGACCATCTAATTTCAAATAACATTTTAGATTGGATTTTATACTAATCATTGTACTAACTTGTGTAGGCAATACATCCATGACTGTGATGGCAAAGATGTTTTTCACATCTGCAGTCTTTTTGACAATCCTTTCCATAGCTCGGAAAAGAACACGCTTTAGAGCAATTGAATCCAAGATATCCTACTGGGCAAGCTGAAAGTAAAGATTGTATATGTATGCTTTACTATAGTTTTAATTTGAGTCGTATCACAAACTGCAAATAATTCAGACATAAACCGAAAAAATGTAAGAATCTAGGAATTTCGTAAGAATTGGTCTTACCTTCGCAAACCTTTGTGGTTGTATTCATCCAAAATCCTGCACAGCAAACAGGACCATTTACCCTTTGAAAACATAAAAAGTATTAATTTCACAGAAAGTAAAAAAAAAAAAAGATATAGCACAAGAAAATTTGACGAAAAATATAACCCCGGCATAATTGTCCAGCAACAAATCTAGTATGAGACAGGCTGATCACGAAGACAGAAAAATAAATCATTATTTTATCAGTCCATTTTAAAATTATCCATTTTGTATATTATTTGGTGACATTATGTTTAAACTGCTTTATTTCCGATTCATTTAATTCCTTCCTTTTCATCGAAACTTGCAATTAAAACATTGAGTGCGTAGGTTTAATTTCAATTACATAACTGAAATGAAATATTTGTATGTTATCCTTTTTCAAATGTTATGCCGTTAATTAAAATAAGTATGACTACAACGGAAATACATGTATTTAGTAATTATAATGTTGGAAAACATATTATTGTTATTATTATTATTATTTTTATTTAATCAAAATTATGAAAATAAACATTAAAAAGTGCTTGCGATAAGTTTGACTTAAAAATTCTACGCATATTTCATTGATAGCTGTACGGTTATTGTATATTGACTGCATTTTCAACATTTGAACAACTGTCTTCACATTTAAAATTGTATTTACGGGGAAATAAATATCAGATTAAAAATAAGTATTTATTGTGTTGAGCTTCTTTTAAACTCACCTAAGCCAAAGTCTCAAGTGACATTTTCTGATCAATGTATTTCGTCCATCAGTCTAAAAACTGTTGTACAATATTTTTCCAGACATGTACTCTCAACTTCTCCAATACCAGATAAACAATTTTTACTAAATCTACCACGAAATGGTGTTTACGTGAGCGCTATGGATCATTGGCATCTTTTAATATAACTTTGTCAGTTGAGGAAGAAATGACATTTACGTTTCTTCATACAGTGCATTATATTTCATTCGGAGCAATATGTTGTTATGATAAATATTTTGATAGGAAAAATGTTTTCTTTCTAAATACAAGTAAAATGTTGCAGCTCTTGTAATTAGAAATGTTTTTATCTGCGCAAATATAGCATTAACAGCGATTCTTTTTTTTTTTATGTCAAATGTTAATTTTATTATTAATAATAATAATTATCGTCTGACATTCTTCTATGCACTCTAGAGATTCTTGTTACTTAAACTATTTCTAGTCATATAAATTTCTCCCATGAATATGACTGACGCTTTGATTAAAATGTTTTTTTTTTTTTGGATAAAAATGTCAATTAAAAAGCTTTTGTGAATAAATAAACTACACGTACTGAAAATTCATTCCGATAACTTCACTACAATGTTTCTCTTCTTAACAATATAGTGATAAAATAAGTTAAAAATGAACATTAGTTAATGCTACAAATTGTTCGTAATTATACCTTACGAGGTCATTATATCAGATACCCTTTTAAAGCCGTCATCACAGATATATCTTATACCTGGGTATTTTTAAATTGATTGTACTTTCCAGTTAACCAAGACGGGTTAACAAAAAGTAGGTCAGAATGCAAGGTGTTATTTATTCTAATCTCAATACAATTCAGAAAACATCAAATAAAATATACTTTAGACAAATATTATTTTGGTAACATATATATAAAAAACCTTTGTCTTCTTGTGATTTTAATAGAGTAACTATTATTTTTATTATCTTTCTACCAAAGGTCGTTGCGTTTGCGCATTGAAGGTACATATAATGTCCTCTGCCAGGTAAATGGTAGGTTAAACTTCAATAACATGTTATTTTTACAGATAGTTAATCGAACTTTTCATGCACATTGTGTTTATATATATATAATGTATATCAACATGAGCAATTTCTAGAAAACTACATGCTGCAAGCCGAAATTATGAAAGAATTTATTGATATACTAATAATGCATCATTATTTCTACTTTCGTTTTAGAAATTGCAAATTTTTTTTTACATACATACTGAATTCTATCTTTTATATATATATATATATATATATATATATATATATATATATATATATATATATATATATATATATATATATATATATAAGTGAGATGAGAGTTGTTCCATCAGTGATGCACACTTTCCAACAAAAGAATAAATACTTAGAACTTCGCTTTTCCTGATTATAGATTATAATTGTACCCAGAAAAGTTGAATCTCTCATTTACTTACTCAATGTATGACGACTTTGTAGAAAGTGACTCCAAAACTGTAGAGAAATGCCGAGCAAATAAAAAGTATTTAGCTATAAAAATGCAAACATAAACTAAAAATAATATAACAAGAGTAAATGTGTATAATATGAATGACAAACTATTTACATGTATTTTGAAAAGACATTTCGACAGCATTTTTATATCTCATTGCTTCATTTATTGGATACAAGAATCGAGACACTCCTATATACTACAAACAACAAAACTTATCAGAGGGCCACATTTATGGAAGAAGAAGATACAAATAAATATTACAGCTTTAAAATGTTTTCAACTACGGTGGCTGCTATAGGACATGGCATGATTCTTTTTTTATTAATTCGTGGCCACGAAATAAAGTTGTGCTATATAATGCCATTTTAGCCTCTTCTGTTTCAAGATGAACGAAGTTCACTTATATATTATTATCATTCAATTGGAATGAGCCAACGGGATATTTGTGTAATGAGCAATGAGATTTGATGCTGATACGTAGAACATGTTTCACATGAGAAGTTATACTCCTAACATGCTAAGATTTTGTGTCTTTATTTCATTACAACTATGTGATAGGATTCAATAGAAAATGTGAGAAAACAGCAAATAAGCCCATAAAGTCATTAATGTTCGGTTTGCCTTGACTAATATCAGGAACAAAACTACCAGAGTCATTATAGTTAAGAAAAATACATAACTTGAATAATATAAAATTGTCCCTGTGTATTTTATCATCTAAAAAATCATGAGTTAGGACTTCATGTTGTGTCATGTAGCATGATGACAAGCTGATGAGAACACCTTCAGTTTGTTTTATTATTTGGTTAGTGTCACAGATGAAAATGTACCTTTGGGCATTTTGACAATTACTTTAAATACTTTCTCTATCAAATTCTACTTATCTGTTATTAATTAATGAGTTGTAATAATTGCTTCAATCTTCCAGAATTATCTATTATGAAATATGTAATTACTGTATACAGGGAAATTTTCGCCCCTTTCGCCCTAATCACAGGTGGGCGAATTTAAAACGGGGCGAATTCAAAATACACAGTACCATTTCTTAAACAGGACTGTGACTGGGCTAATTTAAAACAGGGCAAAATTGTTCGCAAGTGCGATAGGGCGAAAATAACACAGGGCGAAAATAACACAGGGCGAAAATAACCCTGTATACAGTATGTTATTTAGCTATGAGTGATATGACCAGATGAACTGTGCATTTGAGTGACTTAATTAGTGTTTATTTAAAAATATAATCTTTAACTCTACTTGTAAATCAAATAACTCATGCCATATGTTAATCAAGTATGTCAATTTGCAGTCATGTCTTAAAATACAAACTTTTGTTAACATTCGGAGAGTTGGAATCGGGACGTTGTCCTTGATACTGTCCGACCCAACGAGAAATAAAGCTGCAAATCGTAAGGCGGTATTTATCTTCTTACCAATAGTCCATCCAGTGGCTTTGCGACAAGGACACGCATTTAAAGCGGGGGTGTGATATTGGGATATCATTTTGGATGAAGTATCATTTAACTGCCTTAAACTCCAGAACAGTCAATTGAATCGGCTTGAATGTTTTGTTTTAATTTTGGGCACAGAGCAAAAGAGAGAGTTTATTATTATTATTATTATTATTTTTTTTACATCTAGACTATGTTCATAATGCATATACCAATTTTCAGCTGCTTCTAATATATATGCAAATTAAATATATGGGTATTTATAATGTTGTTCATCAGTGCGGGCCAGTCACAATAATCTAACTGTGTCTGTGTGTCATGGGACAGACCCTCACTGGGTCCATGGCAAATTGTCATTTTAACACTATATGTACATATAATTGTGTACATATAATTCCCACGAATTTTATTTTGTGGCCACGAATTTTTATTTCGTGGCCCCGAATTTTATTTTGTTCCCACGAATTATATTTCGTGGCCAGGAATTTTATTTCGTTCCCACGAATTTTATTTCGTGGCCACGAATTAATAAAAAAAAATCTCATACCATGTCCTATACCAGCCACCGTACTCAACTGAAACACCAGATATAAACTTAATTTTTTACTGAATTAAATTCAATTTTCAAATACATGTATTGCAAATCATTACGATCTGTGAAAACTATGCCTATTATTTCATATACATTTATATCAAAGTTATTGGTTCATATTCTTTCAGTTCTTTTTAGACGAATTAAATTAGGAATATTTTTATAATTTATCGGCCTATGCTAACTCATTGACCCTTATTATTTTTCTTACAAAGAAAACTAAAAATGGTAAACACCATGCAACACAAACAGTGGTTTTCTGCTGTCATCCTGTTACTTTATGTGAAGGTATTGTGCAGTAAATATGCTTTAAAGATGTTAAGATAATTTTTTTTTCTTTCTGAATTTGGGACAATGGATTTTTACTTTGAAATTTACAGACATTTGTATGGTTTTATTATGAGAGTTAGAGTAATCTGTTACAAATACATTTCTTTAGGATGGTCTTTTCCTTGATGATAGACATTGCTCCAAGTCACTGGAAACTATGCAGATAGTCGAAACCTGTCCTCGTAACAAGAATGAAATGGAAGAGGCTGCCAAAGAAAAAAATTGTCCATATCATGCAAAGAACCAAAGTTGTGCTGTTCCAGAAAAGTTCAAATATCATTGCGTTATTAATGTTTTCAGGAATCAATCTATCGAGGTGTGCGCCCCAGAAAGAAAAATTAATGGTAAAAACATGTCGCAAGCTCCTCTGTAATAGATTCAAGTATATATATATATATATATATATATATATATATATATATATATATATATATATATATATATATATATATATATATATATATATATATATATATATATATATATATATATATCCATATATATATATATATATATATATATATATATATATATATATATATATATATATATATATATATATATATATATATATATATATATATATATATATATATATATATATATATAGTGATTAAGGATGTACACGTTGCGATATTCAATTATCTTACTCATGTTCATTTGAAAAGTATATATTTTTGTTATGTTCCAATTCAAATGTTTTATGTGGGTTTTAGGTTATTGTGCAGAATTTAACGTCGATGGTGCGAGAATACAAGATCAATACCAGACTGATTGTACAGTTTTAGACCCACCTTGTCCAACAAGATACAGTTCAACTGAAGCTTATTTATGTAAGAACATAGCTTTTGTTTGTAATAACTCCATTTATAAATTATATGTATTATTTATATGACTTTTTGAGATTTTATATAATTACAGGATTACATTCTCGAATATGACATTTAAGTGCATAACCAGACGAATTTTAGTGTACATTTTAATGACGAGCGCATGATTTTGAGAAATCATTGATGGGTCTTTTTATACTTTCAATGCACAATATGTTTGTTGTTATTCTCAAACAGTGAAGGAGGACATGAAGTATCATGACAAATGGTAATTAGCTATTAAAAAAAAGAACAAATGTATTTATTCATAAATCGTTAAACTCTATTCCTATTTTAGATCAGGCGTGTTATAAACACCCCTCAGTCTTGACAAACACGACTACTAACGAAATTTCCTCTGCTGGAAGCCGCAGTACATCACCTAGTAATTTCTTGCCGAACAGTGAAACTGACAATAAAATTTCGTAAGATTTTGATTGAATTAATGCCACATGTGAATTAACTAAAACTGATTAAAAATGAATTAAATAGAAATAAAAATTGTTCCCCATATTTCACAGGGCATTATGGATTACCCTCACAGTTATTGGAATTATTCTACTGGTTGCCATACCTTTACTTCTCACCTTTTTATGGCGTAAATATTACATACTTTTACTGGTCATTTATTAATGTAATCAGCCTATCAATAATTATCTCAAATTCAGTTTTAATACCTCCTCATTGAGAAAATGTTTTCAAGCTACTGCTCTTGTACAAAGAAAAAAACACACTTACTTACATGTTTACTTTTGTGTAAAATAGGAAGGAGGAAAAATCGAAAAAAACGAGCAACAGGTTCTGAAAAAGAAACCGACGAACCTAAAGAAAAAACGAAATCTGAAATAGGTATTTATGCATATTTTAATTTTTTTATGGTTATTTTTATAATATTGAATGTAGAATGTCATTGAAAACTAAGGATTAAAGTAAGAAAAATGAAAAAAGAATGAAAAATGAAAAAAGAAGTTTTTTTAATCTTTAAAACTATGCAATAAGGAAATGATAAGATCTCAATGATTTAGTTGTGGAAAAATGGTGAAATAAATGATGTATTTCTAATTATCTTGTAGAGGAAATGAAACCCTTAGTTGTGCATGATTTAGAGGGCAAGTATTTAAATAATGAGTTAAATCAAATATAATATAATTAACCCATATTTCTCATACAAAATTCTGTTTCATTTTTACATTTCCCTCATTAATTTTGTGATTAAGTTAACTGTGTAAATGTTTACATTTCCAGACAAAATGACAAGACGACAAATAAAAATGGGAACAGCAACAGATAAATATAGTAAGAATTTGATTGAACAAATTTTTTTTCCCGAATTTCTTTGGAATGTGTTTAATTGTATAAAGACAAATTGAAATAGAGGATGAAGGATACATTTTATAAGTTTTTGAAACGGGTTAGTGTAATGGAAATGTATATTTCCTTGGTGTGTGACATAATAAATATTGTAACCAACGAACTTTTAAATTTGCAATTCTTAGCATTCATAGTGCAAAAGACAAAGGAAGAGTTAGCAGAAGAAAACATAGGTTAGTTTCAAAATATAAATACAATGAATTTTAAGAGCAAATAGTATTCAGACAATTTGAAGTGAAGATGTTTTAGCTCATCTGAGCTGTAGGCTTAAGTGAGTTTTCTGATCGAAAGTTTTCCGACGTCTGTCTGCCTGTCGTGAGTTGTCTGTAAACTTTTCACACTTTCAACTTCTTCTCCAAAACCACTAGGTCAATATGAATTAAATTTAATTTTGTTAACATGAAGAGCAACGACCTCTTTCAGGGGAGAGATTATTAAGAATTAGTGAAAATTTCATGACATCTTTGAAAAATCTTATTCTTTGGGCCATTGGGCCAGAAAAGATTACATTTTTTGAAAGTTTTATTACATAGAGTAAATTCAATTGTTTTAAATAAAAAACCGTCCCCCGCGGGGCGCAGTGGTTAGAGCGTTTGCTCTAAGCTTGCGAGGTAAGGAGTTAATCCTTAAGTCGCGGGTTCGAATCCCACTAGGGGACGTGGAGATTGTATAAACCGAGGCCCCGTGTCACAATAGGTGCAGGCACCATTGCTCATTGGCCAGTATAGGTCTATATTTGCAGCCCTCCACAGGCAAGTGGCGGCGTCTCCATATAGGTGAAAAATTCTCGAGAGGGATGTTAAACAACAAACAAACAAACAAACAAACAAAATGCATTTTTACATATATTTTAAGGGTATTTGAAATTTTGGTAGTATTTAAGTTAATTATAATCACTTTACTCTCAAATTTATTTCAGATGAGACGAAAAAATATATGAAAAGCTACAAGACTTTCAATCGCTACTTCGTTGAAACTGAAATGTACAAATCTGCCAAATTATGCTTGGATAAATACAATATTGTCATTATGAGTGGAGCTCCGGGTTGTGGGAAAACGAATGCTGCAATACACATGCTATTCGAAGCAGAAAAGGAAAATTGGGATTTACGAAAATTTGGATCATGGGAAGAATTTACTCTTTTAAATGCAGATAAAAAGACTGTCGTCTTTATCGATAATGTATTTTATGGAACTGATAATTACGATTTAGAAAATTGGTGGCAGGGGTTTGATAGAATATATGAAAACTATCTAAAGCAAGGACCACAAAATTCACAAGAAGAGTCTATGATTGAGTTGCGTCTCATCATTACTGCTCGAGAAAATGTCATTGAAAATGCATGTCACTTTATGAAAAGGATAACGCCTGTATTTAATGATACTTATAGGAAATATGTAAATAAATATCCTTTAACCGACGAAGAAAAAAATGAAATCTTTCAAAAACAAATTGAGTTTGCAGAGAAAGTAAAACATATGCGTTCACCACCAGGTGATTGTCGTGACTTCAGAACAAATATATTTAAAGCGGTGGGGCCTATAGGATTTCCCCTTTGTGCCCATTTATACGCATGTAAAGAGGAATACAGAAGGCGTGGTGCTAAATTTTTTTCACATCCAATTGAATTTCTCAAAATTCAAATTGAAGATGAAGTTCATAACGACCAAACCTCTAAAACCAAAACCCTCTTCTTTGTCCTTTTCCTGTATGAATGGCATTTAAAGACACAAGATCCACATGCAAAGTTAAATCTAGAAAGCGAAGTTGCATGCAGGCAATTTATAAATGCAGTATCAACAGATCTTATTAATAGTTTCAGCCCTTTAGATTTCAAGGATTTAAAAAGGTATGCGCAGCACTTGTCGGGTTCATTTTTCATGGCAGTCGAAGGAGGAGGGTTTAAATTCGTACACGACAGTGTTTATGAGGCAGTAGGGGCTTACTTTTGTGAAAATTTCTTCGAAAAAGTCATTCCTTTGTTTCCTTTCGATGTGATTCAAGCTCAGGAATACACTTCTTTGAGAAAGGATCAAATATCAAAACTTGCCTTGAGATTTTTATATGAATCATTTAATAAAAGATTTTCGAAAATTTTCGGCTGTAACGTTTTTAAATTGAAACCTTTTTCAGATTGCTTTTGTGAAGAACTAGAAAAGAAAGGAGACAAAGACACTAAAAGTTTCTTCTCTCTGCAAAATGAGGGTTCTAACGTGAAACTACCCGTTTTGTTCTGGGCTAGCCTTAACAATCATCATTATTTAGTTGATAAAATGTTTTGCATCCTTAGCAAACATAAAATCAATACTGACTTTCAATTTTATCTTTCTTTGTATGGCGAATGTTGTTCTAAAAGTGAGAATATAGTATCAAGACTGAATGGAATGCTTTTTAATAATATGGAAGAAATAAAGAAACGAGTTCTCGAGTTTAAGGATGAAGAAAAGAACACAGTTTTGCATCTTTTGATTATGTCAGAGAGATCCGACAGCACTGTGGCAGAAGCAGTCGTAAAATTGAGTAAAGATAAAGCAAATATCAATGCACGCAACAATCTTAATATGTCGCCGTTAATGTTAGCTGTGCAGCAAAAACAAGAAAGAACAGCAGTAGTTAAAGAGCTAGTTGAAAACAAAGCAGAGGTTAAATATAAGGATAGAAATGGAGCCACCGTTTTTCATCATTGCCTAAAATCAGAGAACACCGATGAAATATGTGCAAAAACTTTGAAGATTCTCTTAGATGGAAAAAAAAGTCAGCGAATATTAAATAATGACGATAATGATGGAGAGTCCGTTCTAAACATTGCTGCAAAACAACCGAGATACAGTAGATTATTATGCATTTTAACACTTCTTGAATGTAAAGATGTTAATGTCTCCACATTGAATTTAGATGGATGTTCCCCAGTTTACAATGCAGTAAAGCATTTGCAGGTACAATCTTCATTAGGTGAATTGGAATGTTGTGCAAGATTGATTATTCTTATTTTGTACGGAGTTAATCCTGAGAAAGTAGCAGACGATAAAACTAGTGCGAAGGAACAGTGCTGTGCTCAATATATTCATGTTTTAAAAATCTTAAATAATCACGATACAGATATTATGGAGACAGAACTTGACGATCTGATTGCAGCTGTTCATAAAAAAGAAGAAATGAGGACAGCAAATGTAGAACTTCCAGATTGTTCTTCAAAATTGCCAGAAAGTATAAAAATGCGCATAAGACAAGCAGTTTACTACTTGGCATCCGCTGAACTATAGATCTCCTGAGAAAACACACTGATTTTCCGTTCTGGTTTTTTAAACACAATATTTGAAGAGGAAATTTCAACATTTTTGTGATTATCGGTGAATACTTAATAGAAATGTTGGGTAAATGATTTCAGTCCATGTTACATTTGTAGTCTTTAAAAGTAATCTGTTATCCTTCACAAATGCAGACTTTGAAGAAAATTGCTAGCCACAGTTTATATTATCATTATTTGTAGTAATGTTATGTATATATATTTGTGTGACTTTAATAATTAAATTCATTTTATTATCTTAGTAGTTAGATATCATTTTTTCTTCTGTCTTTTCTGTGTAGGAATTTATACAATTTACTTTTAAAGAAAACAGAAGTAATTCTAAACCTTGTCAAAAAGTTGTAGGAACGATTGCTTTCTAGAAAAGAACATTGTTCAAAAGTTACTTGTTTTTAATACAAAATGCCCATGCAATTCCAACGCGTCAAATTAAACTGTTCGACAATACATAGAGTTATATTTCAAAAATGTGTGTTGCTTAGGCTGAAACATGGTATAGCAAAAAGTATAATCCTGCTAAAGTAAATTGAATTATATTGCTGTGAAATTATTTGAATTCGTACATACTATTTTTCATTTATTATCTTAAAGTAACCAGTTTGTGGAAATGTAGGTTCATAATCAAAAGTCTTATTTCGAGACAGGTGTGTGAGGGCTCTCTTGAAATGCATGAACCTTTACGGAAAATAATGCATTTTATGTGCTCTTGTGTCATAAATAAAATTTACAGGAATAATATCAAGCTTGAATTAAATCTCCCTTGCAGAGTTGTTGTTCGTTCCTCTCTCAGACACCTTTGCAATGGGCTCACTCCAAGATTTTTGACAGAAAGTAAAAAAAAGAAGTGATATTCCAAGGATTATTTAAGATTAATCAAATAGTTCTAGATCAACTTAGTAAATACATGTATACATGTATCTTACATATGTAAAAGTAAACATTAGAGTAAGATTTTAATTATTATAAATTTAAAGAAACGCGCCATTTCTTGTGCATAACACGGTGATATATGTTAGCCAACGACAGAGGTAAATGCATGAGCCGATGGTTGAGAGCGGCTTGAACCATGCACGTTATTGAAGCTGGAGTCTTAAAATATTTCTCACGAACGGAAACAATAAATGTGTTCTGTTAATCAAGAACTAAGCTAAACCAGAAGCTATTGGCTAATATAATACACGTCTTCAGTAAAGCTGAAGGTGCGCCAAAAATATCAACAATGGCCTTATTCTAGGAAATGTTCAAGGACATCAAATGAAAAGTAGAAAACGGAATATTTGCATATCATTTATTAAAATCATTGAACTTAATAAAGAACTAAAGTTACAAACTTTGTGGCCTTAAGCTTGAGTCATATCTTCCTTTAAAATCAACTTTTGACATACATTTTGGAATAATTAGACATATAACTTTGATGGAAATATTATGCAAGCAGACTAGTATATTATAAATGAATTTCGGCCTGTTGAAAGCATTATTTAGTTTGGGGACAAAACAAAACATGCTTAAAATTCTTTAAATTACTGGATAAGCAAAAATTTCATCAGAAGTTATTGGTGAAGACTTAACCGTAGAATAGTTTGTCTTCGATTGTGTTATATGTATTTGACAAATAAAGGGGGGGGGGGGGAGGGTGTTTTCTATGGTTCTCTCAAAATGTCTTGATAAATGACTCTGATACTCGAGATTTTATGGCCCTTGAGCAGAATTTTAGTAATAAGACAAATGACCCCGAATTTACTAAGGCTGTCTCAGAAAAATCTAAGTACGATATAAGGGATCTATTGTTCATCTCACAACCTGACTATTACTTTGTCTGTATTGTGAGTCTAACACATACATCATGTTAACAGTGCGATTGCTTGTAATCTAACAACCAAGGTATATGACAAACGTGATGACTTTAACTTTTCAATTGTCAACTTCCCTTACTTATGCAGCAATATACCTTCATCACCTGCATACGGGGTATATATCTCTCAGTTGATCGATACGCAAGAGCATGCTCTACGTATGTACAATTTCTAAAACGAAGTAAATTATTGACGAACAAGTTGATGAAACAAGAATATCAGCTGTCTCGTTTAAAGTCATCATTTCGTAAGTTCTATGGTCGATACAATGACCTTGTCAGCAAATACAATTTATCATTGAGTCAAATGCTGACTGACGTTTTTCATACTCATTGTTAGGCCATTATTTACACATTGAATTGTCGACGGATTTTTCCATTATTTCCCAATCATGACAAGGAGCACATGGCGGTTGTGACCGGTCGACAGGGGATGCTCACTCCTCCATGGCACCTGATCTCACCTATGTTTGGAGGTCCGTGTTTGCTCTGCTCCTATTTTGTATCGTTTAATGGACTTTTGAGCTTGAATACTGTTCGTTATCTCCATATATATCATTGTATTAAAAGATATACTTCGTGTATCAAATTCTTAACTGTAAAATTGGTTGGATGCACTTACTTTCTTATCATGTATGTACAGATGTAATTGTTTCAAAGTACATTAATATTATACACATGTATCAATCGCTTTTCACTTGTGTTTCAAATATTTCTATCAAGTTTCTATTTAATTTCCTTGCGGTAAGAGACGTTGCCCTAACCAGGTTTTTAAACGGAGTGAAACCTTAAGAGAAAGTGTGTTTGGGAGTAAACTTTTTCAAAAATCGAAGTTCTTGTCAATGAATTATTGCGGGGGTGGGGTCATACTTTCATATTCGATAGAAAGTTACATAGTTACAATAACGTGGAAAGACTCGACCATACTGCAGCAAAAAGGTTCAGTGTGAAATCAATTATTACCTGAATTCATTTTATTAAAAATAGTTAACAGCACAAGCCTACTCTCAGAAAAGAAGTGGGGGGGAGGGGTTAATTTCTACGTGCCTGCTAATACTTCAAATGCTTATTCAATATGAAACCGAATAACTTTTCCAGACAATGCATAATATAACATTTTTTTCTTTTTTGTGTATTTACTTAAAAAGAATAAAATTTATTCATTAATACAAAAAAGTACATTTACAAACTGATTGACAGCAATTCCCTGAAACTTACTGTATGACATCAACATAACCAGTAGGAGAGTTTTCAACATCAGAAGGCAATGATTCCTCACTACTGGTACCGTGGATTACCTCTAGATATACACTTGCTTTCTGCAATGACGATTGGTCTGATTCAGAGTTATTAAATGGTGGCTCAACACAAATTGGATCGAGATAGACAGGATCTGGTGACATATTTTCACTTGAATCATTTATCACAATTTTCTGATTTTCCAGTTCTTTGTACCTGTCAATGGCAGTTAATTCGACTGTGCCGTATCTATTGCTAGTAGGCCTTTTTCGAAAGCATTGTTTATAAAGATAAGTAGCGACAAAAACACCAAACAATATCACGAAAACTCCCACTAAGATAAAAATACCGTACAAAATGAAGTCTGCTTTAGTCTGATGCGCTTTTTCTGTACTTATCATCTTGGCTGTTTGTATTGTTAGTTCTTTGGTACTCACAGTGTTATCAGATACGATAGTTGTTCCAAAATACCTTTTAGCTAAAAAAAAAGGTAAGTGATAAATATAGTATTTTTCATTATACATGTACATGTATAACCGGTATAATTACAAAAAAAAGTCTTGTATCTTTACTTCTCTGTTCAAGGCATCCTAGTACAAAATCACATAGATTTTTTCTACATTTGCACCCGCCCTGACAATCTTCTCCAAAGCTAGGATATTTGCACTTTTCAGAGCAGTTTATATTATGGTAACCAACAGGACACTCTATATATTAAGAAAGAAATTCAGTATTGTTAAAAAGCCAAGAAAAACACTGAGACAAAATTCCAATAATAATGAAAACAAAAATGACCTACTTTCACATGTTGCATTTTGTTTGCTCCAGAAATATCCTGCATAGCAAAGAGATATCTGACGACTAAAGAAATTTAAAATTAATCATGATGAATTACCTGAAATTGATAAAATAGAAATCAATTTCAGAAAATGCAAAACAATTGAAATAACTGTTTTTACCTGTGATTGGTGGAAAGAGCAAATTTATACACTATAAAAGAAAAAGTAATTAGAATATATTTCTTCATTGCAAATAGGCCTATATGATGAATAGAAAAAATCCAGAATCATTAAAATGTTAATAATTAATCAATGTTTCCGCATGTGTAGTTTAAACGGTTACATTGAAATGTGTCTATTTCATTTTCAGGAAATACATTTATTTTGGTACGCAAATAAGGAAATTTTTTTCAAAAATTAATAAATTTCTAGATTATAGTGAAATTTTAATGATAATACAAATTGGATAATTTTTATATATACGAGGGTTGTCCCAGAAAAACGCGAACTTTCTCAATATTTTTCGTTTCACTAATATTATAAAGTTAAAAATTGGCATGCACTATAATTAACATTTTTTACATAATTCACAGAAATTTCAATATAATATCTTTACAAATAACATTTTTCTCTCTAATAAATCACTCATTCAAAGTAGCTCCCGGCGCAACACCAACGACGTCAAAGCGTTGATCGTGGAGGTTTTGGATTTATTCAGGAATCGTGCGTCTTTAAAAATTCGTTCGAAGCAGAAATTCGATACTGCATTTGATTTCTTTTTAGTTACCAAGTTATAAATTTCATGCGAACTACAGTTAAGAATAAATCAAGGAATTAATTATTTTAATAGACAATTTCCTAACCCCGATCATAAACTTAACTACTCGCATAGTTAATGACTGTCTCCACGTATGACGTCCAGCTCTAGACTTTTCAGTTTGTCGTCATTTTTGTTGGTCTACCAAACGCTTCTTCCATCGGATAACCAGTCCATCTATCTTTGAACCTCTTTTACTAGGTATAAACAAGTGTTCGATACATATATTTGTGTCGTTCCCTCATTCCTAGCTCTTTTCCCGTATGAGC